AGGGTCACCCTGGGCCGGAGGCCTCACTGGTTTGCTGTTGCAGGGTCTCCTGAGACTTTGCCGAGTTGTTTTTGAAGGGTCTCCATAAAGCAAAGACACTGGTTACGGCCTCCGCGGCCCTCAGAGCCCGCTGGTTCACTTTTATGGGGTCTTCATAAGGCTGGGGTGCTGGCGATGTGTTATTGTAGGGTCTCTCTGGGCTCAGACTCACAGATGTTAGGAGCTGGAAGGGACCTTGCAGATCACCGGGCCCAGCCCCCTGCTCTAGGCAGGAAGATGACTGGGGCTGGGGGATCCCAGCAAGGCGACTGTCCAGTCCCCTCTTGAAACCCTTCAGGGTAGGTGACCGCACCACCTCTGCAGGGAGTTTGTCCCACTATCTGGACACCCTGACTGTGAAGGAGTTTTCTGGTATTAAGCCTGAAGCAGCCTTCCAGGAGCTTGTATCCATTGGTCCTGGTCTTCCCGGGGATGCCTTGGTGAACAGTTGTTCACTGAGCTCTTGGTACACTCCTCTGATATAGCTATCACGTCCTCTCTCCACCTTCTCTTCTTCACACTAGAGGCCCAGGTTGCTCAGCCTTTCCTCGTATGGCGTGCCTTGCAAGTCCCTGGTCACACGGGTGGCTCTCTTCTGGACCCTCTCACGTTTTTCCACGTCCCAGCAGCAGACCCTGCTGCTTTCTCCCTGTAGATCTCCCTGGGCCCGAGATCCCACTGGTTTGTTACCAAAGGGTCTTTGCTGGTGCCAGGGCTTGCACTCGCACTGCTTTCCCATCCATCCTGGAGTGACTGGACCCCACACTCCTCGCATTTGCTCTTGCCCTGTCCCTCTTGCTCCCAGGCCATGTGCATGTCTCCGCTGCTGCGCTGCCTGCATTTTACTCTCTAGGGCCACAGAGATGCCCCAACTGAAACATCGAGAGGGGACCCCAGCAGGAGGGGACTACTTCAGCCGAGGAACCCCCGGGATGAAGGGAAGTGGCACTTAGAGTAATCCATCATCATTAGAGCCCACGGATGGGCCTTGACAGCACCTTGGGTACTGCAGGGTCCGGGATGCACCTAGAGCTGTCAAGGTGGGGTCTTTTCCACTGAGGCCAGCCAGTGCCTGCCCACTGCGAAGAGTGGGAGCCTTTCAGAAAGAAAAGACTCCACAAGAGCTGGGCAGCTGGCACGCCGCACCAGGTACTGGCTACGCTACACCATTGTCTCACCATCACCCTGCGCTCCCTTCCTTCGTCTAGGGCTGCCCATTGCGTGAGGCTCTTTGTGACCTGCCTGTACAGCACCTGACAGCCAGGTGCTGGGAGTCCTACCACAGACTGCCTGGAGACCGAATCCAGCCACCTGGGCCAGGCCACTCCAGCGCCGATCAAGCCCTAAAGAAAGGCCGGCTCCTTCCATCTGGCTCCCCCTCCCAGCACAATGAAAAGCAAAGCACGGGCAAGGAATTCAGGGCTCCAACAGACTTGGCTGCAAGCAGCAAGCTCCCTGTTCTCGCGTCCCCCGCAAGCGGCTGCCTACAAAGCCACAAGTGTCTGGGGTCCCTGCCTCCTCCAGCACGCAGGCTTCGGTGCGAGTTGAGCCAGGCTCATCAACAGATGGGGGAACTGTGCTAATTGGTTAATTTGGCAGTGGCACAAGACAGCCAGCGAAGACACAACAATGAGAGGCCCTTACGTCTCAGAGGGCATGAATGCAGGTTCGAGGGACCGAAATAATAGACGGAGGGACTTCAGTCATAGAAGAGCCAGGGCAGTTTATTGGATTAAGTACAAAACTGGCAGCCAGGCCTGACAATGCCTTGCGGGCAATCATAGGCAAGACGCTTGACCAGCTAAGCAGCAGCACCCCAAAAGGACGGAGAGTTTCTATGGTACCTTTTCTCTACAGGTTTGGTGCTCCACCTCCCTTGTTTCCCTCCTTCTTACTGTGAAAAATTCATATCTCATCGATTCCATTTTGCCTGGGAGACTCCGTGTAGGAAGGAAGAACCGATCCATTTAGAACATGAGATATTCCCTGCCAGGGACCTCTGGTTAGCAAAAGCCATTTTAAAAACATCTCCCTCTCTTCCTTGTGGCCAGGGAGACCATGGGGGAAAAGGGGTCTTTAATAAAGCTTCAGCAGTGTTGTACTGTTTGCTACATCCTCAAAGAGTTATTACGAGACTAAGAGCCTGCAATCTTAGCAGACAAGGCCAGTACGGGCTGGGGTGGAAACGAGGCAGAGAAACAGGAGGTGACATGACTAAGGTCCCACATAAGTTTTGTGGCAGAGGCAGCAGCACAGCACAGCTTCCAGTTTGCTGCCTTATCCACTGGTCCAGACCTCAGCTCAGCAAAGGGCAACTGGGAACCACAATACTCATCGCCTCCATCCATGCAACCTCCGGGAAGCTCTCCAAAGAGAATGAGGGAAATCCAGACTAATGCTCCTGATGCATCTCAAGGTATGTGCACTCACTTCTCGCCATCCCTTTCTAGAGGACACTTGAAACCTCTCTGCCTCAGTTTCACCACTCTGTGGCAACTACACCTCCATATCCATAAGGTACTCTATGAGTGTTAATGGCAACATGCTCTTTAGTCCACCCCACAGGGATTCTTTAAAAACTGCTGCCCATGATACCAGCTCCAAGACCTGGCTTAAGCCACATACATGCCATTAGTGCCTTCCCCACTCAGCCAGGGAGCTGGGCCTACGTGTACCCCATTAATCACTGCAGTAGGAGGCAAGCACATGTTCTGAGTGAAGAGTGTGCATAAGTGCTTTGCTGAAGCAGGGCCCAAGCTGTTATAAACCTTGATGGATTTTCTTCCCACCTCTTGACCAAAAACAATAGTGAAACCTTATACCTGCCACCAGGTCAGCTTGCTAGTGGTATCACACGAGATGCGTGCATTGTTCGCTGTGAATTATGTCTCTCCAACTTCTGCTACTGTGCCCGGCAGGCCTTGTAAATTCAAGGGTATTATTACAAGAGACGGGTTTCCCCGATAGACTACCTTCCAAGGGGTATGCACTGGCAACCCCTCAGCTGTTTGCATGTTTGTCTCACCCACTACAGGCAGGAACAAGCAGCCTCTTTCAGTTGCACAGAGCCAAGCCTTGACAGCTCCAGTCACTATACAAAGCCAGTCTGAATGCGTCTTCTGCTTCTATTCCCCTCATCCTTGTTGCCACCTGTTCTACGTCTCTAGCCCTTTACGCAGCAGGGGGTTGTTTGCATGCCCCAGCAGTAAATTAGTCTATCGAGGAATATCCTCGTTCAGCAAAGACCTAGATTCTGCAAACACTTAGAACAGGGCTGTCTCCTGAGCTGCACAGACTATAGGTGAGGGCAGAAGTCTGCCCACATTCAGTCTGTCACATACTTCGGGCCACAGTCCATCCATATGTTGTCCAACTAGCCCCAAAGGCTGGAGTAGCAGAACCTATGCTCCCTGACTTCCACATCAGTTTCACATTGCTAAATTCTACAACGCAAGAACCTAAGAGCTGCCAGGCCCATCCTGCCCAATATCGTGTGTCCCAGTGGCACAGCAGATGCTGAAAGGGAAAGTGGACTGGGTCCGATCAGGGTTTTTTTCCCCACTGTTCCTCTAACGCGCAGCCTCCAGCATTTAGGGTCTAGGAAGCTCCAATTCAGAGGCTGTACCTCTAACTCTGTGCTTAATAGCTACCGATGCCCCTTTCCTCCGAGAATGTGTCCAACCCCTTTTTGTATCTAGCTAAAGTCTCAACTTCCACCACGCCTCATGGCAATGACTCAGAATCACAGAAAAGGGTTGGAAGGGACATCAGGAAGTCACATTTAGTCCAACCCCTGCTCAAAGCAGGACCAGCCCCAACTAGATCATCCCAGCCAAGGCTTTGTCTAGCCAGGTCTTAAAAACCTCCAAGGATGGAGAGTCCACCACCTCTCTGGGTAACCTGTGCCAGTCCTTCACTACTCTCCTAGTGAGAAAAGTCTTCCTAATACCTAACCTCAACTTCCCTTGGAATTCCATGCTGGGTGAAAAAGAACATCCTTGTGCTAGTTTTAAACTTATTGCCTACTAGTTTCATTTTGTGACCCCTATTTCATGCAGCAAAGGCAGGGTTGATCCCAGAAGTACAGTTCTGAACAATGGTTCTCTCTCATCTAGTCCATCTAATGCAATCAAAAGGACAGAGAGCCCTTACCCAGATTTGGTTTCCAAGTGCTTTGTCCACACTCGTCAAGTGGCTTGGGTAACAAATCTCCCACCACTAACACATAATTACCAAACTCCCCACTAACTTTTATTTTGCCTCTACAGGGTGGAACAGTAGCAAGAAGTGATATATAAAGTCTAAGACAAGGCACAGCTGTGAGTTCAGATAAGAGATGCAGGAAACAATCATTTGTCCTCTCATCTTACCAAGTCCATCTCTACGTGGTCCTCTCCCACTGCTTTGCCTCTCATGACGGATCAGTAAACAGGTTGAGAGAAGCACCTTTCTGACCTAGTCACCATACCTCGCATCCACATTTGCCCAAGCATCTGCTTGAACAATCTATATCACTGCAGCTGGGATGGAGATCAATCAGCCTTCCACCAGGTTGGATCCACATGTGCTGTTCGAGGAGACATCTGGAGGCTGGCACATCAGAAGTGCTGTTTTATGGTATCCCCTGCTGGCTGCCTCTCTCCCTCCGAGGACTTGCCAGATCACAGCTGGCTAGCAGAATCAAGAGAGGCACTGTTAAATTCATGAGGTGTATCATCTTTCCTGTTTCTTTGTCAAGTACCAAGCTGCTATGAGCACCAGGCTGAGATTTTTCAGCCAGGCCTAGGGGAGTTAGGGATGTGCGATACCATAAATACCTTATCATATCCACATTCTAGCAGTTATAGCATAGACACGGGACTCGCATCCTTCCAGTCATTTTTAAGCCCAGGATAGCACACAATAAGCAACTGTCATGCAAACATGCATCCTTGCAATAGGTGTGTGAATTATAATGCTCTGTTTGTACCAACGGGATATTATAGGCTGAATTCTCAATTCTACTCAGCCCATTTTTGTTGGCTGAGTAAAAGCAGCTTTAAACGCCTGGGTAAGTCCTTTTCCCATGCCAGGACAGTACAAAGGGGCCAGGGCACACAGGGAAATAATTAACCAACCTCCACACAACCCCTTTCTCTCTCCAATCCATCCGTAACAGGTCATTGAGGCAGTGATAAAGAGCAGAACCCAGCCTGTGATTTCCACAGTCTCCGCGTTCTGAATACTTCTCTACTAGACGCATTTCTGTCTGGCTCACATGGCCGGGAAACTGGATGCTTGCCTCCACGGACCTGTAGGGGAGGACAGGTAAAGCTGGGCAGAGGATGAGCTTCTGAGCATCAAAGAATTAACCCCTCACCTGCCTTCTGGGCACTCCTTTCCCCTCTCAGCTCATGGGTCTGTTACAACCCTCTCCCACTTCATCCCCCATCAGGATCAATTTTGATGGCAGGCGGTTTGGCATAGGGCCCAGGGGCTCAAGTCTGATCTGAGTGTGGAGTCAGGAAGAACACTCGAACACGAGCGCAGAAGGACAGGACACCCACAGGTCTTCCTTCCCTATGAAAAACACTGCCCTCTCCTGCCCAACTGTCAACACCTCGTACTAGCCAACTGCTTTTCCAAGGTTCTGTCTCACAACACCACAAGTTGATTGAGAAAAGGTCATTCAGGGGGTTTCTCCTCCATCTATCCACAGCATTAGGTCAGTGGTAAGAGGTGGAGTCCCACTGCTCACCAGTCTGGTCCTATCACAAATCCCAGCCATCTAACACAGAGACCCATGTTTCATTCACACATCTCTCCATGTTGCTTAAATTAGGTAAGAGTTATGCAAATGCACAGGAACTCCCGATGGCACCGATACCACTACTGTACACAGCAGAGCAGAGGAAAGGAGACAGCTTCTTGTTACGGACCAAACTGTCTGCTGTGGAATGAGGAGGGAAGTATTTGGAGCTGAGTGTTAACTTGTGGCTGCAAAGGAGATCCTCTGCTTTGAGAACTGAAGCAGCAAAACACTCCTGCTTCCCAGTGTAAACCCAAGCAATCCTAAGCAGAGCCACTGGGGCAGGAACTAGCATTAGGAAAGAAGTGGCTCTGAAGCAAGAAATACCAGGCATCAGCAGTATCGAAGCATTAGACTGGATTTGCGAGCGTTACCATTGGTGGAAAGGAGATGAGAATTAGGCTGAAGTTTACCCAGCTCGTGGAGATTTATGAGGCAGAAAATCAAATTACCATCATTCCTCCATCTCACACTTGCCAGCTTCCCTTGTCCCCCCCCCAGCACCCAATCAGAGCATAAATAACAGCTGACATGGCATCATTAGGCACTGAACGGCCCTCATTCGGCCATAATCACCACCGACCCCCGCTTTGGCTTCGAGCCCACGCCAGCCCAGCTGAAACACCCCATATCCCACTGCTCTGAACCACTTGAAAGCAACAATCCAGCACAAACACCCGATGGTAGGAGACCGCCTGTTTGTACAGAGGCCCAGGCTGGGGCAATGCAACTCGTTAGCTGAGCTGGGATTTCCAGCCTGGCAGAGCCTGGCTGTCAGCAGGCTCCCAAATCCCACACAGCCCCTGGAGAAGGGCAGCTGCAAAGCACTCATGTAGCAGACTCCTGCCTGCAGATCCTCTCTGTTACACTGGTTTACATCAGTTGCAAACCCACCGCTGGCAGTCAAGCGAGTGGAACGTACCAGAGCAACGGATCAGGTTCAGAGAGCAGCCAGCAGCCGCCCAGCTCAGCTGGTACCTTTGGGTGACTCTGAAGTCACAGAGATACAAAGCCCACTGATGGGCATAGAGGATCTGTATTCTCAGCATGGCCAGTTCCAAGTCCTGTCTGACCAGAGGTTGAGCCCACTGCTCTGATCCATGGTCACAAGCTGATGCAGCTCTATCTGTGCCCCAGAGGACTCTATATTGTCACTGCAAGTCCCACAGCTAGGGAGAAGCAAGCCAGAGGCTACAGACATTTGCTAGTGGTCATTAAGGAGATGCTTAAGCAGGCAGCAGTCCAGAGGAAGAGCCCATCACTATAGTAAAGTGGCTGCATCTTCTCCAGGCAGGAGGCTCTGCCAAGGACAACCAAGCTGAGCCCAGCAAGTACTTTGCTGCCTGCTTCTGATGGATCTGTGTCATGCACATGGCATTACGAAGAGCCAGTCGCAGCACCAGACCGGTGGGCTACCTCTGGCACTAGCCACAGGATGCTGTATTAGGTCTGATCCAGTGTAGCAACGTACAGATACGATGCCACGATGGCAGCACAAGCTGGCTGAGCTGCGTCCACCCACCCCAAAGCTCTGTGAAGCTGGAATCAGACTCATAGACAAGCAGGGCTGAAAGGGACCTCCAGAAGTCACATCTTGTCTCATGCAGGATCAGCCCTGTCCAAACCACCCCAGACTAAACCATTGTCCAACCTCTTGGTGAAATGAGCCTTGACGCAACACCAGATGTCACATTCGAACCTGCCAAAGGTAAAGCTGGGAGACTGCTGCAGCCAATGTTCTACCACCATAAAAGGTCATGAAAGGTTATAAAAGGTTGCAGCGAGCTCTGGGGCAGGAGGCATTAGCTGGTGCACTCGGCCTGCTGCACAAACCTCAGGGCAACGGGAAATGATAGTGAACAGGGCCACGCTGAGCTCTTAGGAGAGGCATAAGCAAGACATTTCAGAGCACAAGGCCTTCCTGAGGACAGCGGCTTGCAGAGATCTTCATGGCAAGGACCGAGTCAAGTTGGTTCCAAGTCCAAGTTGCAATGCCAGGAACCCTCAGTACCTGCTATCCATTCCCGGCAACCTCCACAGACAGAGGTTTCACCATGCTCAACCAAAAGGCAGGTGCAGCAAGTTACACATCAGTACCCAGGTAGCATGCCAGAAGGCAGACACTGCTGCTGTCTGTGGTCAATGCAGACAACAAACTCAGGACACCAGGCTTCCCCTACTCCCTCCTGTCACTGACCAATGGCAGCATCTCCTCATGTCTCAGTTCACCCATCTACACCACCAGCCGGTAAAACACCTGGAAATCTGAGGACCAAGCACCCTGCAACAGTGCAAAAAAGGCTGCCACCAGGCGAGAAGAAAGCAATTGTTCACCAGCCCTGGAAAAGCACATGCAGTTTGCCTTATTTGTAGCAAGAAAGATGAATGTGTTTGCTAGGGCAGAGGATTAAAGCCAGGGCTCTGCCATGTTGGAACTCAAGGCAAACTTCTGCTGGGCTTTCTGCTACCAGCCGAGAGCTGAAGCCACATGGGAGACCAGAGAGAACAGGCTTTAGCAGGTGATTTCTGATGCAGGATTCCCTCTGCCCAGAAAGTGATGAAGCACATGCATCAAGGGCCATGCTCTAGCCACGGGAATCAAAAAGCCAAAAACCTGGGACTGGGGGATTCTTTGTTTGCTGAACAAGCCAGCCCTGGTGGCTTTCCCCAAGAAACCACCCCTCCCTGGCCAGCCCATCCAAAGCACGGGAAAAGTCATAGACTCAGGGTTTCAATTTTAACTTCAGGATGGGAGCTGAAGCTTGGAAGCACAGTGCCACCTACTGTCGAATTACAGGCAGTACTGGGCTGCTGGACCCATGGATGGGTCTCCAGAAAGGGCCCTCACAGCAGCTCTCCCCAGCCTGCCATTGGCTGGCAGCTGGGCCTCCCAGTCTCAACATCTCAATGACAGGCCAGGGCCCAGCTGCCACCATCTCCTCCCCACCACCCCAGCCTTATCTGCCTTGTCCAACCCACTTCCTAGGTTTAATTCTTGCCTCCCCTGCTACTTGTCTCCTCTCCCCCTCCATCCATTGGCAACCCTTCATCATTCCCTTGGCGGGCTGCTGCCAGTGTATGGGGCAGAACTAAGGAGATATACCTGGTTGGCACCACGACAGGCCTAAGCATCTCAGAAGGAAAGCACAGACAGAGTAGGCTGCTCTCTGCAAGAACAAGGTGAAGGGAAGACAGGTGAGTGATCTAATCAGCACACAAAGCACTCAAGTATCCAACTCTGTGATTCAACCCCAGTCACACAAGGAGCCTTGGGCAGAGGCAGGAGCTGGACCCCGGTCACCCAAGTCCTAAACGCAGTGCCTTCACTGCAACACCATCCTCCCTACCACAGCTTCACCCAACAGAGGCCAGCTCCCACTGGAGAAGAGCCAAGAGAGACATGGAAGCTACGGAGAAGGGAAAGAGTCATTTAATTCAAAAGGGTTTGTCCTGACTTCATACAAACCTGACTTCATACATACAATGCACAGAATTTCCTTCAGAAAATAACCAGTGAATTAAATTCTTTTAAAAAGCAGCTATTTCTTAAATAGGCACCCTAAAAACATCTACCAACAGTGCATGCATGTCCTCCTAAGAACACAAAGGCAGGCAGCCTGGAAGCAAATACAGCCTCTACTAACAGGTATAAAAAACCCCACATATCCACATTAGCTTGCTTCTGCGCCTCAGTCATAGCAGCTGCTGAATGCTGCAACACAACCTAACACCACTTACAAGTAGCTCCAAGTCTTAAAAGCAGCCAGGCAATGCACAGCTCCCTCTGCTCCATCCACAGGAGGGAAATTCAGGTGTCCTGAAGTCAGTGGAGCCAAGATTTCTCCCAGCATGTGGCAAATGTCCCTAGGACAACCGGTTACCAGGTCATGCATGTGCATTTGGGAGGGATCCTGGCTGCTGTCTGAACAAAGCCATTTTTCTCCCTGACATTTCTAAGTTGCCTGTTTCTCGCACTGCTCCATCTCTTTGTCATGTGGACTGGAGGGGACTAACTGGCAAGTTCTGGCTCCAAGTTCCTGTAAGGCCCGACTACATGTCCTAATCAACCCACACTGACCTGGTTTCAGCAAAGAGACTGAGCTAATTTTAAGGCTCTGGAAGGGTTGTGCATTTAGGGTGGGATTTCCAAAGGGAAGACAGGTGAGGCAACCAAGTTGCACTGAGGTTCAGAGAGAAGTGGGCACCTGGCTCCCTTCCACTCCTTTCAAAATCCAGCCTCATGTCCTACATTTTCTCTTTCTTAGCCTCTACAGATCCTGCTCTCCTAAGTTAACTCTCTGAGGATGGGCTGTGTTGGGGGCAGCCAGTCTGCCCTGCCAGCCAAAACAAGGAGGCAAAGTAAGTGGGAACTGTAAGTTGGCAAGGTATAATATAGGTCAAACCTACTCTGGAGAGTAAATGCCTTTCAAATGACACTGTAAGCACAGGAAAAGTTATGTGACCTGCATGAAGTCACAGTGAGTCAGCTGGAAAAGAGCCCAGCTCCTGCTCTCACCATCATGTCATCCCTGACACAGAGTTAAGCACTCTTAAGCTCTCTAGAGCAGGCCACCCCCCTTGTCTTTCTGACTGGAACCAGCTGATGTAATGCATGCCAGAGCACTGCAGCTGACCACAAACAGAGCTGGAGGTCACAAGGCCCAAGAGGCTGCAAGCGCATTAGGTTGCAAACTTGAGAGGCTGCCTAAACACTCACCTGGACTTCCCATTTCCGCTGTGATGAACCAGCCATAAGATCTTATGGGATCCACTGACTTTCACATACCAAGTACCTGCGTTCAAAATGAGCGTGAAATAGCAAAAGCAACAGTAAACTCTGCCTAGGCACAAAACAACAGCCAGGCACGTCCACAGGACGCTGTATATTTTATCATACCCATCTTCACCCCTGGGCAAACACAGTATATGACACAGTGCAAAGGATAACTTCTAATAACGGAAGGGAAGTGAGTTTGAAAACACTCACTCACATGGAAAGGGATTCTTCATCATTTCTAGGATCATTCTTCTAGGCTCATAACCATTGGGAGGCTCCTAAAGGCAATCACTCTCTGAGAGCTTTTCTTCCTGCCCAGTACCCACACACAGGGAGTTTTGTTACTGTGAAATCATTCCTAATCATACAAACTTTTCTCCCTCCCTGCCAAGGTCATGCTGGTTTGGAAGAGAACCCCAGAATCCAGATGTCACTCATTCAAACCCACCAGCTATGGGTTTTTCCCCCTTCGACACAGATTTGCTGACTGCTCTTGGACAGAAAGCAGCACTGTTTGGTCCACAGGATCACAGATGGCTGAAATCCAGAGCTAGGACTGGAGCGGGGAGGCCACAATTCAGATCACAGCTTCTTTATAAAAGTCTTCACCTGTGACAGAAAGAAAGCAGCTTTTATCACAGCACACAGAAACCAGGCAACACATCCACATCCCTGAAACACCTCTCCATCCCTGGAAATGTTCAAGAGCAGGCTGGGTAGACACCTGGCTGTGATGGTTTAGTCCTGTTCTGAGCAGCGGACTGGACTGGACTGGACTGGATGACCTTGTGAAGTCTCTTCCAACCCTACTTGCCTATGATCCACAGCTATACTCCAGTCACAGACCAGGTAGTACAAAGCCTTCTACACCAGATGTATTTTATCAGAGACATTGAGAGAGCAAGAAGCTTTAGCTAATCTTAAAACCCACCAAGAAGGAAGAAGAGATTATTTTCATTGCAACAGAGTTCAGAGTTCCAAACCCCACTGTACAAGTGGATATAAATACTACCTAGGCCCACAATAGCTTGCTTATTAAGAATAGTGACATATGAAGAAGAGGGTAGATAATTATAATGATTATAACACAAGGTGGCAAGTTACACAAGCAACAGGCATCTCCTGTGCACTTCCTGGCAGAATTCAAAGGGCAGCGCAAGGAATGGAGCTGTTTCACTTATCAGGAAAGCAGTATCAACACATTTTCTACAGCTCCACTCAGCCCAAAGGAGCCTGAAACACTACAATTCAGTCCCAAGGATTTTATATTTGGTGCTGGGAATTAAGCATTTCTGCAGTTAAATCCAACACCTATTCAGCAGCACAGTTTGGAACAGAAAACAGAGAACCGCCTTATCCAATTGAGAGGGAACTGAGAGGGAAGAGGCAGTTCTCAAATTTGGCCAGGACATCAAGGGTCAAATTATTCCTTAATTAGTAACTCCTCATACTTGATAATCAAATAAATAGGTGCCTGGATATGCATCTTGTCTACTGGCAACTATCTTCATCCCGCACCCCTTAATACTAAGCTTTGGCATGGGCCATGGGCAACACACCTATAAGGACACTTGTTCAGTATTTTACACCCAGGATGACTCCGGGGGCTTCTATTTTATCCGAAGTACAAGAGAAATCAGAGCAAAGTCTTCTAAGCTATACACCGGTTTACTGGGATATTGGCAATCAGGCAACATTATCAAGAGCAGCTGCATCCAGCAGAGAATACACAGACTCACTCGCTGCTGCATAGGAAAGTCTCAGGGCCCTCTGAATCCGTCATCATGGTTTGAGGCAACTTCCAGACTCCCACCACTCTGCCTCGGTGTGAAGGAGTTTTATACACTTCAGGTTCAAATGTCTTATTCCCACCCATTTCTCTGAAAGAATGATCTCTTGGCCAATTGAGCTGAGAGCAGAGAAACTGAGGCATGACCTGTGACCACTGTTCTTTCCTGGGCTCACCTTATTAGCACTGGCTTGTACATCTCAGCTCCCTTGAAACTGCCACTCACCATCTACCTTCAGACTGAACTACTTCTGTGATCTGTGAGGAGTGACACACTTAGCAGAGCAAAAAGGGATGAGAGGTGTTCAGGACTCCCCAGCACTAACAACTGCTGAACATGGCTGCAGCTGGTCATCTCCCCTCCAGGGAAAAGAGAACCTTCTGTCACACACCCATGCAATCCTGCCCTTTGTCGGAAGGGCAAGCAGAGGCCAGTGTCAATCACCTACCTTCCTCATAAGCTCTTCTTGAACTGATAGGTTGTGCTCAAAGTCCTGGTTGACATCCAGCACCAACACAGGAACATTCCTCAGGTTTTCAAAGTGGACCCTGGAGAAGGCAGAAGAAGGGCTCTGAACAATGGTACTTGTTGGCAAACATCTAGGAGGAGGCATGGGTAGAACAGGCCCAGGGAGAAGACGGATGCATCAGACCTTTCTTCTAGCACGAGTTCTGCTCTCATACCAGTTCAACCATTAAGTGAAGCCACAGGGAGCCAACACTTTTCCTCATATCCATCAAAGCAAGAGAGCTCTGAACTGAGGTGCTCTCAGCAAGACTCAGTCCCCCTGGATTCATCATCATTCAAACCAGCAAAGCCCTCCAAGTGCTACCTGACACAATACCCTTATGCCAGAGGCATCCTCCCAGAAATCCTTTGAAGGGTGCCACAGGAGGTGTGAAGAGATAAATGAGGCGTGAGGAGATAAGCAGTTAAGGCAGCTTATCTCCCTGCCTGGCTGGTCCCTTGACCCCACTGCAAGGAGGTCAGCCCTGTAATAAATACATTAGTCTTTGAAATAGGGTGCCTCTCAGTTCACAAAAGTTATGGAGGGGTGTCTCAAGTCTGACAAGACAAAAAGTGCCATGACAAGGGACACCTAAGATGAGGAGTATGACAGGGCAAGGAGTACCCCTACATTCCAAAGGAGTGGCTGAGGTTCCCCTGTCTTCGAAGGCCCATCAGGACTTGTGGTCCCCTAGCAACTACCTGGGATGGGAAGAGGCCTAACGGAACAGCAGACCTGGGACCCAGGACTCCTGGGTTCTACCACTGCTCGGCAGCAAAACCCATTATTTCTGTGAGCTGGATCTTGCCACATCCTAGCAATGGCCCCAGGTCAGTGGAGAAGGCAGCAACCCCCTGATAGGAGTTGGGTCTGAGTGGTCTCTGGCAGAAGCTTCAGGACTGGGTGCAACAAAAACAGCACAAGGCAACTCCAGATGAGGACAAGCCTACTGAAATATCCTCGCAGAACTGTGTCATTCAGATCAACAGTCAAAGGAGTAGTGGGAAGCCTCAGAGAAGGGTGAAGAAGGGCTGTGAAGAGCTGGAGGCATCAGGGAGAGATCGCCAGAGCTGGGGAACAGGCCAGGGTGGAGAGGGGGGCAGACGTGTGGTTGGGAGCTAGGTCATACGTTAAAGCCACTGAAGGGGCCAGGGACTGAGAACCCACCCGCCTTTTCCCCGGTCACTCACTCTGTGCTTTTGTTGACTAGCCAGTTCTCGTGCTGGGCGTGAAGCTGCTCCAGATACTCCAGCTTGATGTCCTTCTCCTCAGCCCTTGCCCTTCGGCGAAGCCTTTCCAGACATTTCTGGAGAGAGAGGCAGGTCTGTTAGCCTGATCGCCTTATGTAAGCCCCACTGAATTTAGTAGAGGGCTGTTTGGCATGAGCCACAGAGGAGGAGGCCTAGACGGTAGTGCAGGCAGCAGTAACAGCTGAGAGGCAGCAGGGAAGCAGGAGATGCAGCTGCTCTGAGGGGAGACAGCCACACAAACAAGTCAGAAGTCACAGGGCCTCTTTACTCTCTACTAATCAGTGCCATGGAGGGGCTTTCAGATGAGGAGAGACTAAGAGGCCAGGCCTGTTCAGGTTAGAAAAGAGATGGGGGGTGGGAAGCAGGATAAGGGCTTACATAATAGTAAATGGTGAAGTCAAAGGGGATTTATTATTTACTGTCTTTCATGGTACAAGAACTAGTAGGTAGTAAGTTTAAAATGACCATGAGGCAGTCCTTTTTCACCCAGTGGGTCATTCAAGGGTAAACCTTGTTGCACCCAGATGTGATGGAAGTGGAGAATTTAGCCAGATTCACAAAGGGACCAGACACATTCTTGGAGGAAAGGGGCATCAGTAACTATTGAGCATGGGAGTGTGGAGCATGGCCTCTTAATCACAACTTCCTAGACCATAAATGCTGGAGGCTGCAAGTGAGAGAGGAACAGTGGAAAAAGCCCTGATCAAACCCAGGCAACTCTCCTTTCCAGCATCCCCTCTCTGCCACCATGCAACACAGGAGACTGAGCAAGATGGACCTACAGTCTGACCTAGGAAATGGCAGTTCTTCTGTTCTTGTGAACAGGTGCAGGCACCAGAGTCAGGCTGGGTGTGGGACAGGCATCAGTCACCACAGGCCATTTCACCTTGCAGATAAGTCCTTGGAGCACCAAAGCCTCCCTAGAGGTTTTTAAGTGTACGTTGCACAAACACATGGCTGGGATGGTCCTGCTGACCCTGCCTGGAAGGGGGCTGGACAAATGTGACCTCCTGAGGCACAGCCCCATACATCTATGGTTTGCCTTGTATTCCTGGAACCTTTCAGAGGTGGCTCCTTCTTGTCTATGCGTTAATAGCTGCATTCAAACTGCCTTTTTTCCACCACTTCCCAAGTCTGCTCCATAAGGAGAAAGAGGGTCAAGTGAGGGACCAAGTATGACCAGAATCATGGAAGCAGATAAAAACCACATTTTGGAAGGTTCCAGTGCTAAAGAAAGATGCCCTGATGGTTCTCCACACAAGCACCATGCTCCACCCACCGTTACCCGACTCTGGAAATCTATCGGTTGCCAACACGGGGTTAAAACAGGAAGCGCTGGCCCTGTCTGAAGAATGGACAGCAGAGCAAGTGGCCCATGTTGATTAGGATCAGAGGATCTCTAGAGATCCCCAACAAAATGAAAGCCCCAGGTGCTAATCTCTCACACTCAAACAGGACATATCCAGTCTTGTTATGAAAAAGAGAAGGCTGAGAGGGGATCTGGTGACCGTCTATAAACTTACTAAGGGGGACCAGCAGGGAACAGGAGAGTCCCTGTTCCCCCGAGCACTACTGGGAGTAACAAGGAATAACAGCCACAAGTTGACAGAGAGTAGGTTCGGGCTAGATATCAGGAGGCGCTACTTCACTGTCAGGGCGGCTAGGATCTGGAACCTACTTCCAAGGGAAGTGGTGCTTGCTCCTACCTGGAGGGTCTTCAAAAAGAGGCTAGATAATCACCTTGCTGGGGTTGTTTGACCCCAGTACTCTTTCCTGCCCATGGCAGGGGGTTGGACTTGATGGTCTGTGCAGGTCCCTTCCAACCCTACCAACTATGAAACTATGAAAGGAG